ATATCTCGGAGTTGCTTCGGAGGATTTCCGATAGGGACACGTCGTCTAGGTAAACAATTCCGGGAAAGCTTGGTGCGGTAAGGCCGCCTCATTTCGGCGTTTGGTGTGGTTGTTCGGGTTTTGGATAGAGAGGAGATGCCGGAGGGGAGGGAATGCTGTGCTGCCTTGTTTCTTTGTCTGTTGGTCGTTGTTCGGGATGTGTGCCTTGGTTTCCTTGCCTGTCTGTCGGTCTTGGTGGGATTGGATCGGGGTTTGAAGGGATTTGAGGGCATTTTGGAGGATGGGTATGGAGGTTTATTGGTGGGAGAGGTAGACGAGACTCGTTAGATTGGGCTGGGTTGGGGAGGGATGGGTTTGATGCTGGATTGTATTGGGAAAGGTCGGGTGAGTCGGGTGGTAGATGGTGGGAGGGAGGAGAAAGGAGAAGGGAGAAGGTAGAAGGGGAAAGGGAAAGTGTTGTGGGGGAAGGCGCGAATTACATAAAGGTCAGTCAGTGTCTGGTCAACCAGATGGATACTTAAAGACATGTCGGTAGAACTTCATCTCTCCCTCTCACCCAACATCCCCCAAGTCATTCTAAGAGCCTATATTTACTTCATCAATTGGGGTGACCGACCACTACAAGAACTTATCTACCCACCAATACACCACTTCATCACCACTACACAGAATACAGACCCTACGAAGAAGAGACCACATAATATCAAGTCATAAATTCCATAATCATCATTCTGGGTACCCCAGCTAAATTAAAAGACCTTAGCATCAAAGCATATATATAAAACCAAGTCAAGACATAAGACTTGAACACATCATGAAAGAAAGAAAAGCATTTGAATCGTGTTCATAACCCAATCCACCAATCCACAACATAACATAGGCTGACTCAGCGTGCACAATATCGACATTATAGCGGTCGATCTGAAGAAGTCCGACTGAAGGATAAGAACATCCTTCTTCTGTCTGAAAGAAATCCCTTCGGTGGTCATGGGTACATCAAGCCATGACGGATAGGAGTCCTTCAATGGACCGGACTACTTAACTAACCTGATAAATAGCCCGGTCCAGAAACCTCGTCCCTATGACGGACTTCATTGAAAGTAGAGTGGCAGTCGATGCCATCAGATTCTCTTTCATTCTCAAGTAACTTCAATCGATGCGAAGTTGTTTGGAAAATCTGCATTCTATGCAGTTCAGTCCCAGTGCAGAGACAGACAGACACGATCGATCAATCAGACCAACACCAGTAAGGACAAAGTCCCAATAGGTATATTAGAAAAATCATCATCGAGACAGCAGCTTAGATTCAGCCCTTCACGTGGTGGTGGTGGTGATGGTGTCTCAGACGGTCCACTCCACCCCGGACGGTATCCCGCAGACTGAACCCACCGAACAGCCAGTCATTCGAGTGACGGCCGTAGTGGTTCACCGTGTTGTTGTAGCGGCGGTAGTCATCGCCAGTGCGGCGGGTCGGGGTGGAGGGCTTGCTGTGGGGGTGATCCATGCTGTCGAGGGAGACTGGGCTCGAGGACATGGCTGCGGGAGTCATGGTGGAGTTTGAGGGGGTGCTTCGAGGGATGTCGAGGCTTGATGAGGGGGAGGAGTGGTTGGAGGAAGTAGTAGTTGGGGAGTTGGAATGCGAGCGAAGGAACTGTTTCGCGCGAGACAGGCGAGATGCTTTGTGGGTGTGGGAGGGTTTGTTGGTTGTTGTGGTGGTGGATGAGGTTGATGTGGAGGATTCGGAGAAGGCCCGTTTGAGAGTGTGCGAAGGTGGGTGAGTGCGGTTATTCATTCCTGGAGGGAGTAGTACTCTTTATTATACCGTAGAAGGAAGACAGGAGAGGAGGGAGGAAAAGTAGAACAAATCTGAAGAACTTCGAGAAGGAAATGAGGGGATCAGAGGCATATTTATCTGCCGCGTTCGGAGGTCGTGGCCCCCCTCCGCGACCCCGTCGCGAGCTGTCTCGCAGGCAGTCGCAGGCTCGCAGCGCCCGTCCAACCGTGCCCCGGCGACCTATCAGAGCAGCACTGGCCCTACCCGAAGCATGGGACCCCTGCCGGCGAAGACCGAGCGGGCGAATCAGAAGCTGCCAGCACGGAGGGAGACTCCGTCGATAGGGCTCTAGCGCCACGTTTTGAGTCACGGGCGGAGCGTGAGTCGGTCAGGATCGCCGGGCCTCCCCACTGCTCTGCCCTACGAGCGGACGACCAGGCCAATCACGGCGCCCGTCACCAAGGCATGACCCATCAGGAGGCTCCATTTCACCGCTCCGGGCTGAACTCTGCGCTGCAAGCCGCATGGAAACCCGTCTGCCTTCTGCCTTCTGCCTTCTCCCTTCCACTCAAACTTGCGCGCACCCACGGTTCGGTCGGTTGGGCTCGGCGAGATAACAACACGAGCCTGGAATGCGCGCATCCAGACCCCAGACCCTCCAAAAAAGCACATCGCGAGAGCAATCACATTCCACACCACCTTCCAGAATCCACAACGAAAACATTGCATTGCATTACACAGTACTAGCAAACCCACACCTCGTGTGCAAGCATATTCCGCCCCCAATCTCACCCTCCGGATAGGCAAGGATGTTCGAATCGGGCCTAGGGGCGGGACATAGGGCTTACTAGCGTGACTAGCTATCTACTGTGTTAACTGTTAGTATCCCCGAAACTCTCCCGGCTCCCAGTCCCCAGTCCTCAACCAGGTTTACTCCCCTGCCAGAACTACAGGCAGAAAAAAGACTCACAGATGGGGGTTTGCTTTAAATAGAAACCATGCGCGAATTCCTTCCTGAAACAACCCCCCCCCTGCTAGAGATAGTCCTGACTGCGCGAATTTCCCCAGTAATTTCCCCAGCAATCTCCCCCCTGTGAGGCAGCCCTACCCGCTGGTGAGCGACTTACGAACTCCGGGACTATCTACCACTTACAGTAGTGTTTCTCTCCTGAGGACCGCGTGCGTCCAGTCCGTCGACAGTCGACACGGAAAAAGTCTCAGACGGCGCCTTGGCTAACATGAGGCCAATGGCCCACTTGAGGCTCTGGTGCCAGTCCAATGACATCATTTTTGGAATGGTGGCCCGGCGCCAAGAGCCTGCCCGGCACGCTGTTCCGATTGCCTTGAGAGGATTGAGGGTGTTGTGGTGGTGTAAGGACTTCGTTGGCTTGGGGCAGTTGTTGTTGTTGTTGTCGGTTGTGGATTGTGGCCCAGCAGCGCGTAGATCCATCCAACACGCTACTACGTGGGCAAAAAAAAAAGGGCAGTGCAGGTCCTGGTCATAAGACCATGATTTATTTTCTCGGTTTAACTGTGGTGCTTAGTCTAACTATTATTACTACTCGCGGAACATGCAAACGCCCAGCACTGCCGATGCAACAACCAACATGCAAAATATCCCGCCAGCGCCTTGAAATGAAGATAACGCTCATGATGCAACGAGAACCAGACAAAACGAAAGTGACATACATAGCCTTTCAAAAATTGATCGGAGATAAAACCCGCCCGAGCTAACCGGCGCCTATCGATCTACTCCTCCTCAAGCGGCCAGAGACTCGCACTGGGTCGCTTCCATGATCGAGGCTGTTCCGAATGGCAGCGTCGATGATATCGCTCAGCCAACAAATGTGCACCCGCAGGCCCATAGTCGGGAGTCCTCCCCCTTCCAGTGGCTGGGACTGCAGCGGGCTGCACGGCTGCTCCCTGCGGCACCCAGTACGAAACCAGGACGTTCTGTCCAGTCGTGGTCGTAGTGGGTAACACAAAGAGCGACCGTGCCTTATCCAGAGGCGGACGGATCATTCTCCGCAGCGACCCCGACCCCGACCCTGCGCCCGAGATCGACATTTGCCCGACTGCCCCGGAGGCAGAGTCCTTCGGGGCAAACCAACGCCAATGGGATCGCCCCGCCTTGGAACGAACGATCCCCGCAGAGGCAGCATCATCCTCAAGCAAATCCTCCGAGCCCACGGGCGTCGAGAACTGCTGTTCAAATTGCTGTTGCTGTTCGATGGTTATCAGCGGCAGATTTCGCCGATCGCGCAGCTGCGTCCCGGGTCCGCAGTATGGCCAGGAGTGGCGTCTTCGGTGGTGGCGGACCAAGTGTGGCATGTCCAAGGGTAGTGGTGTCTGTCTGTAGACGTGACTATGATGGACTCGGATGGATAGCGACCGGTAAGGACTGTTTTTGAATATAGGTAATCCCTCGTAGGCGGCGAAGCGGAACCCGGCTAGGTAACAACGAAATGCCCGGTATCTTAGATCCTCCGCGACAGAAATTCCCTAGGCTTATCAAGCAGACAAGCACTATTCATGATGCGATGAACCGGGCAGGATACACCTCAATAGCAGTCGGGGCACTAGGCACTATCGCCTTCTTTAAGAGCTTAGCCATCGCACCGGGTCATGAGGCCAGCACGTGCGAGGCGCACGCGTCAAAGCTGCGGACGCTGGAGTCAGATCACCCGGGCGACTCACTGACGAAGGCGATCTGGGGCCCTGAAGAAATAGATGATTCGAGCAGCATTAGGGGTCACCCGCTAAACGGGCGAGCGCACCCTGAATTGAGTCACCGTGGCGGGCAATAGGGGCAAAAGCATGACGAATAATGGCGAGTCATCCAGTGGCTTGCGCAACGGGAGGCAAGCGGACCATAGAGTTTGGGCTGAGATCCAGGTCAAGGGGTGCTCTCCGTCATATCTGCGAGAGCTTGGGATGTTGCTGTAGTTCTGACCTCGTCGCAAGAGCGCACTGACGCGACACCTCCGGATCTCCAGGTTTCAGGCATGATCAAGCGGGGTAAGTGGCATGTTCTGGCATCGGGGGGGGATGACTCGCGGTCCCTCGACCTTATCACAAGCCTTGGGGGGCAGCGCGGGCGGCCATCTGTGCTTATCATTTGGATGCTGCGGCGTTGCATCGCAGCGGAGGGAGCAGATCAAACTTCGAGTGGCCTGATGGCAGCGACCCCGGATATGGCAAGGATAGCCGTCCCAATGTCATCACAAGTCACGTGGTCTAATGGTTATGATTTCTCGCTCACAGCAAGTGCAAGTGGGAGTTCCTCCCAAGCGCCGAGAAGGTTCCCGGTTCGATCCCGGGCGTGACTATTTTTTCCCCACCACACCCTCCACCCCTCCCCACTCAGACCCAAAGAACCACACCACCCTGACCTTGTTTGTCTCTAGAGGTTCTCTCTCTTTTTTTTTTTTTTTGCTATCCTCTCCTACAGCTAATAAACCCTTTCGCAGGTAAATAAGTCTGAAATTCGGATATTTATTGTTCGGGATATGAGGCAGAAAAATGTCTGATATTGGTGATCTGTGTTGGTTGCTAGCTAAACGACTATCTACGTGGAGTTTAACACCTCGGTGGCCAACGTGACCACAACATCACGTGATGCTCGCCTATTAGCCAATCAGCTTTTCCAACATTTATTTGATCTCCGCTAATACTTCAATATAAATTCCCGTCCGGTGCTGTAAATATATACTCGTCGACCTGTGCACAGTTCTACTTAGTAGGCTTAGCTGCCAACACTGCAACGAATTCGTCCCGATCTAGAAACATGAAGTCAGTCCCACGCAGTATCCCACGCAGTACCCTAAGAAAGGCATTGTAATTGCACATGACGACGTACCCTGGATGGTAGGGAAAGTGATCGTGATCGGCCCGCTTTGCCGCTCTTTGTGGGAGTTCTTCGGCGACCCAGCCGCTATTTGGGCCAAGTTGAGGACCATCCCCCGAGAGTAGGTGATCGCTGGAAACGAAACCCAATTACCTGCCCGCGATGGTTTCAGCTGCGGTATGGCCAATGTGAGCCAGCGTTCCATGATATGGTCACCCCAGCGGGAAGCAAGACGCAGTTTGTCCCCGTCACGCCATACTTGCACCTCCGAGTCCCCCTTGATTGACCGTTTAGGTCTCCAAAGATGTCGTTCTTTGGTCATGAGGGAAGTCGCCCGCCGGGAGAACATCAGCTTGTGTGATGATGCCAGTGAACTCATGAAGTCGCGCAGAATATGCTCGTCATTGAACTGCGCGACCATAGCTCCCGTTGCCTTTTCACAATGAGAGAAGTAAACTCGCTGATCGGCGCGGTACAATTGCTCCACATGCGATGATATGTAATCCGCGTGAAACAAGCGGGGGAATTGGACGCGGAGACTGGAATGCTGGTAGGTATAATCGGTGTCTCTATACAGGTAGTGTAGATTGCATTGAGACCAGCCTAAGCGATTCTGGCATAATATAATCGCCTTGTATTGTCTCTCTTCCTCAGCCACATCCACAACATTGTAGACATGACCCGAGCTGTCGGTCTGAGCCCAGGAGAACATTGACCTCGCATTCATGCTTAAGATGACCCGTGATAGCTCTTTCGCTACCTCTTGCGAGCGAAAGCGAATACCAAGCCCTATGTTAGGGTTTCCATAATCGTAGACATAGGAGAAGAGAGGATTGTAATTCCCGTCTGTTTTGCTTGACCTTTCCTGACAGGTGTCTGACCATTTGAGCATTATGTAGCCCGCGCCCTTCTCATGGCTGACCTGAACGTGACTCATGGGCATAAAGAGCTCCATGCTGTGGGCATCCCTCTCAGCCGCCGAAGAGCTGACGACCATGCGTCGAATAGAGCGCCATGCATCGGGGAATGTCCTTTCCAGGATGCGCACCTCACAAGATCTGTGAATTATAGGAGGATTCATGGGTTTCATACTAGGCATTCTAAACTGCTCAAGCATCTCAGCCGAGCTTTTGAAGATAACAGTTTCGGAGAATTCTCCCGCATCGAGTGGTTCTCGTAGTTGGACAGCGTCGAAGTATGCCTTTGGCATACTGATAACCTGCATCATGTCGGATAGATACTGAAAAGAGACAGATACATTAATAGAGTTGAACTTCAGAGTGACTGGCTCTGTTGATTTCGCGACAGGAAGGCCCATCAGAGAGGCATTCGAGACCTGAACCAGTTGTGCCATATCCGCTGGCTCCACTGTACAGACGCCATTGATTAATTGATCCTTGACATCTTACTCTGGGAAACTTACAGTCTCGCTGCAGACAGAAAGTGCCACATTGGTTGCAAATTGTTACTTTCGGATCACTTTCCCCGTACTTAGTGGACAAGAGGAGCATGTATGGTGCCCCTTTAGTCCGCATACGGAGCTTTTTGCTCCCAATACCCGCATTCACAAACGTCCGGAAGATGACTTGTTCATCATCGTTGCCTGCATCTTCCGGGTCCACTGTAGTATATTGGGCATTGAACAGGCTGTACCCTTGGCCGTCATCGGTGCTAGTCTCTTCAGGCTGCAAGGGTTCCCAGATGTCAAGGTTTTGGGAACGAATGGACGAATAATCAGGGACATCGACTTGGCTAAACTGAGAGAACCCGTCTTTGATGCCCTTTGATAAGTTAGCTGGAGATCAATAAGGATGATGTTGTATTTTTGGCAAGGGCGAACCTCTGACAAATCGGAGATCAGCTTTCTGTTTTCATCTTCCAAAAGTTCCTGTGGCCTTTCCCTCTTCAAAACAACATCGTACAAGACGAAAGATGCCTTCAAAAGGTCTACATACGCCTGGTGGCTAGCGGACCATGACATTGTAGATGGGCTCGCGCCGCTTCTATGTACAAGGCTTGGTCTCTCACCATTCGCCATGGCTGTCCTGGCCTTTGGGTCGGTCAGCTATTGCTATGAATAAAGACGTTAGATGTGATACCTTCAGCAGCCACCACACCGCAGCTCGTAGCCAATCCTTTGTAAGAAGATCTTGGGCCCGCTCCCTTTTGTAGGCAGAATCATTGAACCTCGTAAAGAGTTCAGCATCAGGTTGATGGAACCTGTCCCGTGGTTCAACCCGCAGCTGTTGGAGAAGCTGCTCCCTTAACTGAAGTTGATGGAGGTCTTGTGTGACACCGTTGACTGCAACTACCGTTCCTGAGCTACTGGGACCATTTCTGGATGCCAAGCCTCCTGCGTTGGCTGAATTTAGCAACGGAAGTTGCTGCGAGTATTTTAAATTTGAAAGCCCGTATCCTGGAACGCGAGAGTAGAGCACTTCCTTTTCCGTTGAAAAGGCCTCAGGTGCAGCTACATGGGGGGAGTTGAATCCTACAGTAGACGGGGTACTTGGCGAGACACGTACAGCAGCGGTAAATGTAGACCCATCAGAATGTCCAGATGCGGTGGAATCAGAAGAAGTCGAGGCTCGAACAGGACTCCCCAGGGTGTTCAAATGTTGTGCGCGAGGAGGCGCAGATTTGATGACGTCGGTGTCCTCTAACTCTGATAACCCAATGACTTTGTGTCGGCGCACCTCTGATGCTAAAGGTAAAATCGGTGACAGTTCATCATATGCTTGAGATATTATTGATGGAGAGGGAGAATCATTGTCGGGCGAAGGCATCATCATCGGGCGTTCAGGGCTCACTAAAGAGGAGCTAAAAAGGTGAGAGTCTAATCAATTGTCTGGATCATTAATGAGTACTTACTTGCCAACGGAGCCGACAAACAAGCCAAGGTGACATGTGTGAGCCACAAGTTTGGATCTGAGTTCCCCGACATACTCTTCCTGGGTCACCCAGTTTATGAGCTGCCAGGACAGCTTTCCATTGCCTAAGCCCATACTTTGATATTTGTCGACCAACTCTTTGAGCTGTTGTAAGTGACTGAAGCAGGCACCCAAGGAGAGTTGCAGAGCATGCTTGCGTTCTTCATCAGGCTTCTCTAGGCCTGAAATCGAGGCAGCACCGTCGTTTATTGTTCGAAGGACATGGTTTAAGGACTCCAGCTTGACAACAAGTTGTTTGAAGCCATCGGGAGCGTCTCCCGCCATAGCGGCACAGGCAGAATATAGATCCCATGTCATCCGGGAAACATGTGGTACGTCCATCCTTTCGATGTCGGAGGGCATATTGACAGATATTTTAAGCATATGTAGTCAACTTGTTGAAATATGCTTTAGTTATGAGGACGTCAGATGGGAGTAAATAGACGCAGGTGTGAATCACCTCCGGGAGGCATATTCGGACCCAAGGCTGACGAGCAGCTGGTCTCAAGATAAACCCCTAGCAGAAAACAAAACAGATACAGTCTATAATAATGGCTTTTACAGCCAAGAATGCAACAGGCTCGGGATACAGCCAAAGCAAGGGAGAGCACGACTATAGGTCTTATAAATAGGGAAATCGAAGACGGGGGACCAAAGAAGGGAAATTCCAAAAGACTGATGACAGCCTTCGAGAAGTTTTCCTTTTCCTGCAACGCAACGATGTCAGCAGAGCCACCGCTAAGCGAAGCCCAAGCCCACAGAGAAACCATAGGACGACATCGCGGGGAACCTGTTGAAAACGCATAAGCGACAGAAGCGCCGCATGAGCACTGCCTGCCACCTAATTTCCCGCATGAATAATGCAGAGCCTGGACTTGATTGGGAAATGGCACTCGAAGACTACAAATCACCGCTCTAGGCAGCGACGGAGCCTTGGAAGAGGGTGCGCCCTCTCGTGGTACACGGAGTCAGCGATCAAAGGAGTAAAGAGTTCGTCTCAAGGTGTGCAGCGTCGTAGCCAGTGACAGGCGGGTGGTGGACGCAGCCACAATGTGGAGTTCTTTCAGTTTGCGCCATGAGTGACAAAGACTGCCATCCATCCGCACATTTCACCATTTCCGGGGCCTCTTGCATTATTCTTCGACATAGTGAGGACCTACAGACCCACCGAGTCAGCATGCTTGGGTTAGAAACAAGCCTGTCACTGCCACACGGGGATGCTTCGGTTGCGCTAGCAGCGGCGGAGGATCGCCCGGCCGTGCGGGGATTTAGCGCGTTCTTTTTTTCCCTTGTCCGCAAAGAGGACAGACCGGCCAGTCCAACCATCGAGTCAATGGAATAACCGAGTTTCTTTGCAGCCACAAATCCAATGTATAAGCCAATTTCGCTCTCTGCCTGTGAAGAGAATCCCCATGAATGCAGCCTCGCAATGAAACCAAGGGCGACTATTCCGGGATGAAAGAAGAAGGTTGAAAGAAGAAGAGGACTCGGAGCGCGACGACAAAGAAGCGGTGGGGCCTGCCGCCCCAATCCCGCCTAGCGCACGCCAGCC